GCACAGATAAATACCCAGTAAGCATTAGCAGTTATAAATGTTTAAATTTCACCTTCCTACAAAAAGGCCCTTGTCTTATTCTCAAACATTGGTTTCTATTTCTATGATGAGAAGATCCCTTATCTGAAAATCTGAAATCCAGAGGGCTTTCAGGTTGGGAGCATTGCGTCATATACCCCAGCAGTTTCGGCTTTTGATCTCATCTCAGGCATGCTCATACTACAGTCTTTGCAAATATTCCCAGCTCTCAGGAGCTGCGGCATCTGAGACACTTGTGGTCCCGCACAGTCCAAAGAAGGGATGCTCTGCCAGGATATGTTGTATAAACCCTAGATGCTGCTGGTGTCCCCTGAAAAATACTAATTGTTACCTTCTGCTGTGTTAGCACTCACCAGCTCTCCACTCTGAGCTTTCTAATTCTTTATTTCCATGATGGTGAACCTTTTAGAGCTTTTAATAATACAAACAGGCCACTGTGTCATGTGTGCCATAGGTTCGCCACCACTGCTTTATTTTGAGATAGCGTCAAAATTGCCCAGGCTGGGTTTGAACTTGTGATCCTCCTGCCTCAGCCTTCCAGAGTGCTGGGATTGCAAGCGTGCACCATAATACCCTGCTAACAAGCCCATGTGTTACTAGAGACTACGATACTGCCTCATCTGAGCTCTGACTTCGGCAGGTCAGGGCAAAGGAAAAAGCACAGTGTCTGTCTCCTTTCCTTAATCAGAGAGGGAGTCAGTTGTTGCAGAAGGGGCAATGGGGATCCACTTCATGTCGAGCGGGGAGCACACTTATTTCCTATCACTGCCGCGTTAAGGCCAGGGGATCGCATGCCTGGCCAGGTGCTGTAAACACTTCCCCTTCATAGATGACCTTTGCAACCAGTTGATGTGATCTGTACACAGATTTTCAAGCTTGTCTCCATTTTTGGTCATTCAGTGTCCGGGGTTCAATCCCCAGTACCACAGAAATGAAAAACAAAACCAACAAAAAGCCTGAGCTTATGGTAAGGACCACAAAGTACAGCTAGCATTTGGTTTCTAAAACCCAAAATGCTAAGTTCAGACAATCCTATAGTGTGTCCTTGTTATTAGAAGAATAGGAAAGACTCAGTAATCTTGAGGAAAACGTCATCCCCTACTCACTTGTCTTTGAGGGTTTCAAGACTTCCAGGCGAGGCTGGGTCTTCGCTTGCAGGGCAGCATGGGGCCTGAGGACTCGGGTGAAGAGCGCCTGCTGTGGCCTTGGCTGTGGCTGTGGCCTTGGCTGTGGCTGCAGGTGGTGGTTCCCTCTCGCTGGCTGTTTGGCTTTATCTCTTTGAGTTCTGCATTCCTCCTGTGTAACAGGGTCTAAGAGTCGAAGAGTCGGTATATGTGAAGCGCCTGGAATCCTGTTGTTCTAAGTCTGAAACAGTGGTTGTGTGGGAACTGAAGGAGCCAGAGATGCTGGAAAACAGCCGGAAAACAACTGAAAGTAGCAATTTGCAGAAAGTCTGGCCCTGCCCTGTCCTTTCCTGTTCTGAGCCCTGGTCCCTCTTTGAGAACGCCTTGGTTTCTTATGCACCCGCAATCCTTTTTCCTCTGCCTTGGGACAGAACTAGGGTTTTCTCGCTGGAGAGAGGGCACTAGGAGAAGGGTTACAGGGCCCTTTTGTGTTTCAGAACCTCTGGCACTGTTACCCCATAGGGCCTGTCTTCCCACTGCTTGGCGGGCCAATTGCAGAAGCCAGTTTTGCAAAAGAGTTTATTCCTGAGGCCACCAAAGTATAAGGAGACAGGAGCCCTGGCTCTCAGAGCCACCCTGAGGTTAGGGTTTAGGGGTGCTCGTGGGGTAAAGACTCAGGGTAGTGACAGAGGTAGCAGAGGTGGCTAGAGGCAGGGGAGATGAGTTACCTGTGCCTCGCCTGTATCCTAAACATTGTGGCTCCTCCCTGGAAACGCATTCAGAGAGCAGCAGCTTTCCTGTGCTGACAGTGTGGAGTCTGTGACCTTCAGATGTCATAGGTCACCCAAGGACTCCTGACCAGGCCAAGAGAGGTGGGCCCAATCAATTTGAGCCCCACAAGGCCAGATTCCAGAAAAGTCACTTCTACTGTTGTTCTGGGGCAGCCACGCACAGATCTGCTGTGTCCAGCAGAGCCAGCAGGGTTCTGTGCCGTGTAGCTCAGCTAAGTGACCTCTCAGGTCAGCAGGGAAGGCAGGTGCCAAAAGGAGGGACCAGGAGGACTTACTGGGCTCACGTTTTGGTTCCAGTGATTGCATTTCCGTCTCGGGTACTGATGCTGGGCCGCTCTCAGGGTTTCAGTTCTCCTGGCAGAGAAGCAGAGCCAGTGTGGCCACCAGGACGAGGGGCCAGGGATGCTTCCCAGCCTGCTGGGAGCGAGCTGTGCCACTTCCCACCCCCGAAGAGTTCAGAGTCTGGAGACACTCTGGCCCAGGGGAGCCCAAGCACAGAGGCTGCTCTTGACGTCAGAGATGAACATCCTGGGCCAGTCCTCAGCCCCTTGAAACTGTGATTGATGTGGTTCCAGAGGCTTCACTTGGCCCCCACAATGGACATAAACAGTTTATTGTCAAGGTGAACAGCTTTTTATGCATTTGTACGTCCCCTTCCATCTGAGTGGCCCCATAGCAACCACTCAGATCCAGAATAGACATCTCCATTCCCTCCAGAGTGGTCCTGTGTCCCTCCCAGGGTGACTGACACCCTGACTTCCCGCACCCAGGTTAGTGCGATCCAAGTGAGTGAGACATGGATGCAGGAGGTGCTTGCATCCTGCTCCCCTCCCACAGAGCTATGAGCACAAGCTCTGGAGAGCTGAGCAGGCTCCTTTAGATGCCAGGGATGCAAGCTGCTGTCTGAATTCCGTCATAGTATCCAGTTGTAAGAATGTACGCAGCCAGTTGTCCACCAGACAGGGTGTAGAGTTTTTCCCACTGGGAGCTGTTACGAATAGCACTGCCAGCAGCATTCCTGTTCACTCCTCAGTAATCAGCAAGTTTTTCCCCCTTCTTGGTGATCTCATTCTAGCAAAGTTAGTGTCCCTGGTAATCACAAATGGAGCGTGCAAGAGCCTTTGCATGAGAGAAATAAAATGACAAGTGTTTACACAGCACCTTGAACTTTAGAATGAAAAGATCACTTGCTTTAAAAAACAGTCAGAATGTTTGTTTCCAGTAGCTATGTGGCCTCAAGAAAGCCCTGAGGCATTTCTCGACCTCGGGGTCTCGTCTATAATGTAGGCGTGGTATTAGGGCTGTGCAGCAGTGGCAGCGCTGTCGAGAGGGTTAGATGGCACCAGGCAGGCCGAGCTCGGCACTCATCTGAATTAGCAGTGCTGACTGTGACGTCGATTACATACGGTGAAGTCAGAGATGCCACGAATCTGCACAAGTTCATGAACACGAAACGACCAGTGCAAACCAGGGAATTGCTTTAGCATCCAATGTAAAGTGGGTGTGTTGTTCTGCTCTCCTTCTCACTTCATAACCTCTCTTGCTGTGGATCTCTAAATTTCCACCAAGAGATTTCCTGGGTAGGATATGGAAGTGGGAACAAAGGAAAACTTGGGCTGGAAATCTGATCATTGCGGGAAGAGCATTAACTTTTGGTCTCAGTTTTAACCCCAGGCGACAGGAAAATTGTTTTCAGTGTTTGTACATGTGGCTGATATTGCTCTGTGTCCCTGGACTTCTAATAATAGATAATAATTTGGATCACTGTGGTCTGATCCAGTGTTAGCAATTTCAAAAGTCAGAGAGATCAACCCACCATTTCAAATCATATACATAAGTGCATCTGTAGGCTTCTGAGGTAGAACCACATAAAAGTGTCACGTTAGGTGTAGTCACTGCTGTGAACTCAAGTGATCTGATGACTGTGCAGAAGCAGCAAGCTTCTCGTCGTGTAAGTAACTTTCCACCTAGGTCTGCAAGTTTCTGTTACTGACCAAGATAGCTACTCTATTGAATAACCGTTCAAAAAAGAGGGGAACAAGAAGGCCACCCACACCTAAAGGTGTTTCCTAACTCTGAGCAGAAATACACTTAATTTCTCTTTAACTTTTAATTTTGAAATCATGTCAGACTTACAGGAAAATTGCACAAATTATATAAAGAAATGTCTCGCCTTCCCAGAATCACTGTTAGCCCTTTGACACATTGGCTTCATCCTGTGTTTCTCTCCCCTCTCTTTCACATGCACACACACACACACACACACACACACACATGCACATACAGGTACACATATGCACACAGGCATATATGTCCTTCCTTTTTCTGAACCACGAAAGAATAAGCTACAGACCTCATGCCTCTTTTCACCTAAATACTTCATTGCAGATTTTGTAAAAGCCAGACCCTCTGTTGTACAACAAGAATTATCAAACCTAGAAAACTAATGCTGAGGCCATGGTCACACTATTACCTTACCTGCAAACCTTATTCATCAGCCTTACCAGTGAAGTACAGTGGCACCTCGGTTCACAAACTTGATTCTTTCCATGGTTCTGGTTGCAAACCATTGTGAAACAAATGAAATTCAATGATTAGGTTCACTGTTGACCTCAGGGAGAACTTTGATTTGGTTTGAGACCAATTTGGCTTGCAACAGAATTGTGGAAAGAATTAAGTTCGTGGTCCAAGGCTCTACTGTAAAAGATTGTTTGGTCCAGAATCCAAATTATGTGTTTCATTGAATTTATTTTTTCAAAAATATTCTGAGGGCTCCTGAGCCCTTGTTATAAGGTAACAAACTTGCTCCGCTGGCAGCAGGAAAGGTGAGTGGATGAGGTAGGCTAAAAGAATGTCCTCTAAAAATTCTTTGCCTGTGTTCACAGCAGGGTGTAAAGTAACACAAACAAACACATTTCCTGCACAATCTGATGCAAGGTAGACGTGATTAGGGAGAAGCCATCTTCCTAGCTGGTAGGAGGCATCACCAGCATGAGGTGGGTCTCCTCTGCAGATGAGGGTCACAGCACTGCTCTTTCTTTGGCAGACGTGGTACTGGAGAAGGCCATGCACAAGTGCATCCTGAAGCCACTCAAGGGCCACGTGGAGGCCATGCTGAGGGACTTCCATGTGGCCGACGGCTCATGGAAGCAGCTCAAGGAAAACCTGCAGCTCGTGCGGCAGCGGAACCCGCAGGAGCTGGGGGTCTTTGCCCCAACACCGGACTTGGTGGATGTGGAGAAGATCAAGGTCAAGTTCATGACGATGCAGAAGATGTACTCGCCAGAGAAGAAGGTGATGCTGCTGCTGCGGGTGTGCAAGCTCATCTACACAGTCATGGAAAACAACTCAGGTAAGGCCGCTTTTGCCAGCCCATCCCTGCTCCACCCAGCAGCTCATGACCCGATGAGTGTCACTCTGGCATCTGTGAATGAATTGCACGTGTAGAGGATATAACAGCACTAATCAATCAGGCAGAGAAAGGTGACTCTATTTTCGTACCTAATTAAAGATTCAGTTCAGAGTAGAGGTTGGGGAAACTGGCTCTGGGGTCTGTGTTCAAAGCCTTCCCCTGCATAAGGGCTCGTTAACTGCGGGACCTTTTGGCTACCATCGCTGACCCTGTAAGCTGTGCCTGCTGCATCTGAGTTGGATAGGACTTGCTGCTGCACACGGCAGAGTTAGCAGGGACGACTGACAGGCAGCCCTGGGCAGTGGGAATTTTAGCCGCAGTCATTACTGCATTTTGGGAAGGAGGCTTGGTGCCGTGTCCCTAGAGCCCACCAGAGACTAACATAGTGGAAAGCGAGCCTTTGGATTGCTCGGTGCCGTTTACCATGGATACAGAAGTCATGGTGATGCCTGGGCACTAGGCCACTAGTGCCAAGCTATGGGATCTGAGGCTTATTACCAGCTTAACTTGGGTTGAAACCGATTAACAGACACAGAGAACACCCAGGCTCGTGGTGCACACAGTAACACATGTGCTGCTGTGGACTGCAGGGTGAGACCTCAGGCTGCGAGCCCTGGGCTGGCCATGAGAGCCATGAGCAAGGCCTCCACCATTGGCGAGCACATTCCACAGACAGGAGGTACATTTTCTGCCACTCACAAAATCACTTATACAAAGCTCCAAAGTAACGTCCGGGCAGGATCGTGTTCTTGTTGTGACCTCTGTGCTGCTCTTAGGATCTTCTTAGGGGTGGGACGTCCTGCTTCCAGGGGGACCCTCAGACTGTCCTGGGTGCCATCGGCCCCACGCCCCCACTGCGGCTGTGCAACATGTCTCCCAACAGTGTCACCTGGGGAGCAAAGTCACCCCCAGCTAAGGACCACCATTGTAAAGAGCATTAGAAGTAAGGACTAAAACACATTGCCTCTCTTGCTGTTAACCAGTGTATATTCAACGTATCCTGAATTGGCCCATTTCAAAAAATTACAGAGCATTTCATTCCCAATTCACATCTCCTTCCCCGCCTTTTTTTTTCTTACTGGTCCAGGAGATTGAAACTAGGATCTTCACACTGAGATATATCCCTGTCCCTTTATAAAAATTTTATTTATTTGTGTGTTTATTTATTTATATTTCAAGGTAGGGTTTTGCTAAGTTGCTAAATTTCCTAGCTGGGTTCAACCTTTGATCCTTCTGCCTCAGCCTCCCAGAGATATTTGCTCTTGTCACTGTTGCAATAGGAAAGACAACACAAGTAAATATTTTGTAAATGTGTTTCAATATGATTCCCTGGCTGGGTGTGGTAACACATGCCTATGATCCCAGCCCTCTGGAGGCAGAGGGATTGTCATGACTTCGGGCCAGCCTGAACTACGTAGAGAGCCTGTCTCCAAAAAAAGAGATAAACAGCAGTAGCAGTTATAAAAGAAATAATTTTAAAAATGACTCACTGAAGGGTAAGCTTTTTAAAGCTACTCTGTTCTAGTGAATAATTTTAAGTCCTAAAAGTGAGTAGAGACTCTAAAGTGTTTTAATTGACTCCCAGGCCGCCTGGATTCCAGAAATACCCACCCTGGTTTATAAAAAGCACATCTCTCCCAGGATGACTCCTTGCTGTCTAATAGAAGCAGCAAGTAGGATGTGAAAGAAAGAAAAATAAATAAAAATCCCCCACCCTTTCTTCCTCCTCCAGGGAGGATGTACGGCGCTGACGACTTCCTGCCCGTCCTGACCTACGTCATCGCTCAGTGTGACATGCTAGAACTGGACCTCGAGATCGAGTACATGATGGAGCTCCTAGACCCATCGCTGCTGCATGGAGAAGGTGATGACACCGAGGGAGAGGCTCGGCTTGGTTTTGCTGTACTGATTGATGCCCAGGGCTTTTGTTCTGAGCTACATCCCAAGCCTGTTGTTTATTTATTTGTTTTTGAGGCAGGACCTCCTTAAGCCCCTAATTGCCCAAGCTGGACTGTTCCCTTGGCAATTCTCCCACCTCAGCCTCTCAGACTACTGGGATTACAGGCAAAATTGAGGTGAAATTCATAAAACAAAAATATTAACCCTTCCCACTCCCAGCACTGGGATTAAACCCAAGACTTTGTGTGCTGGGCAAGTGTGGAACTCCCGAGTGTCACTAGCTCAAATATTAACCATTGTACCATGAGTGATTCAGTGGCATTTTGTAATTCAATGTTACATAGCCACCAGTTCTTTTGGGCTACAAAAATTGTAAGATCCTGTACCCACCAAGCAATTAGTAGGGTCCTTTTTGGACATTTTAAAGGTTAGCTGCAGTTTTAATTTTTTTTTAATTTTAAAAGTATATTGACTTTGTCTGATTAAAAAATAGTACATAATCATGATAGAAAGTTTAGGATTCAGATATAACACAAAGCTGAAATGCAGCCCCTAGCATAATTAGTATTTCACTGATACTGGCGAATGACAATGTAAAAGATGTTTTCTTTCTTTCTCTCTCTCTCTTTTTTTTTTTTTTTTGGTACCAAGGATCAAACTCACAACCCTGTGCTTGTAAGGCAGGAGCTTATGCCGCTGAGCTAAATCCCTGGCGCAACATTTTCTTTTTCCAAGAAAAAGTTACAAACTTTTCATTAGAGAACAGTTCCATTGCTAGAATAACTTACTGTTGTATCACCAAAATGAATGAGGCCCTGGTTTTTATTTTTAATCTTTTAAAAAATTTGCTTTAAAGATTAAAAAACAACAATAATATTCATTATCTTTCCTGTTTAAAAACAATATCTGCTTGTGAGTAGCCACAGATACAGTGAAGTCAGGTCTAGGGGGTTTGTTTTAAGGTCCCTAGGGTTTCAGGCTCCTCTGAATCTGCTAGCCCTGCAAATCTTAGCTCCTTCCATAGCAGTGCAGTATCTTTTTTGGAGAGAGAGGGTAAGATGGGGTCTCGATATGTAGTCCAGGCTGGCCTTGAACTCACAGTAATCCTTCAGCCTCCTGGGTGCTGGGATTACAGGCATGCACCAGTGTCAGTAGCTGAATATTTTATCATGGAAACCCCTGGGATGTTTGTCACCATATCTCATAGCCTGGAAGCAGCTGTAACTGGGATCACCCAGGTGCTTATCCAGTTAAGGGAGAAGGAATAGGGCTGTGCATGACCAACCCCGCTGACCCTTTCTCATGAGCCCAGGGGTGCAGCTTTGTTTGCTCCAGGGAGTTCAGGCCTGGCTTGAGTACAAAGCTCCTGATTCAGCCAAGATTCCCCAGGCCTGTGTCACCAGATGTGACTTTAACGACCCTAGCCCCTAACCTGAGGTCACCAGGACTGAGTTTTCCCTTTTAGGGCTGGGTCATGCCCTCCCTGTCTGTTCTAGGGAGTGCCCTCACCCTGTGCCACCCTGACAGATGGCTGTTTACTCTGTTACACTTGTGCCCTCATAGCCATCCACATCCCAGGATCAGGATTCTCACTGAGGACCCAGCCACTCCTGAGGAACCCCAGGACCCTGCTGGGTGGGAGGAGAGGCAGTTTGTGCTGTGTTGAGCCAGACTGTCCTTTTTCTGCTGTGTTATTATAGCGGTCCAGGGTTTGGGTTTGTCTCCTTGGCCTCCATCCCGTCTCATTCTGGCGGGAGGATGATGAGCGCACTGGGGTTGTGGGAACAAGTTGCCAGAGCCACTTAGAAGCCACCGCGCTGCTACCGAGGATGCCCTGCATTCCCCCAGAGCAAAGCAACACTTTGGTTTAGAGTTAGTAACAGAGGGGCAGGCAGCTGTCCTCACCTCCAGGTGTGCCCCCAGTCATGCCCAAACTGGGCAGTGTCCCCTATCCCCTTTGCAGGATCTGGAGCTGCCCCCTCTGCAGGAGAGTGGGTGGCCCAGGCTGGCAGCTGAGGTTGCAGACCAGCCCTGCTCAGCACTAAATTGTGGTTCCACAGATGATGGGCGAGGGGTACCTGACTCCCTGCAATGGCCCCTTCTGTGGCTGTGTGGCTTATGGGCGCAGCCGGTCTTTTCTGCTGCTAAAGCAGGTATTTGCATCGGTGAAGCCCACGTCACAGGGCCCCAGAGGAGTGTACGGTCCCAAGGGTGGGTTCCAGTTTCCCTGAAATGGAAAACCTCCCCCTAATTGTAGCCACGTGTTTCAAAGTGTGGTCTGTTTTGTGCTGCCAGCACTTTTGAGTTTTCTGCTTAGTGCCCTGAATACATTTGAGGCTCAGATCTGAAGTCCCAAGGAGCCCCTCACCCCTGTAGGGGCAGAGCGGCCCCAGGCTGTGGCTGAGATCCTGACACCTCTTCAAGCCCCTGCTGACCTCAGAAGTCCCTGACCAGAGCAATCCCTCCCAACTCTGTAGTGCAGACTCAAATTCCACAACTCTGGTTCACACTCTGCTGAGTGCCGCTGAGTGTCTGTGGAGCAAACATTTAGTAAAGATCAGCAATTCTCAACCCCAGTTGGCACTGGGAGGCTGCCGTGGGGAGACCTCGGCAGGAGTGAAGGGGCAGGAGAACTCCAAATAGGAAGCTCAGTGGGGCTGAAGTGTCACTCTGCATGTTCAAAGCCTTGGGTTCCATCCTGCCACTTGATACAGGCCATGTGCATGGCAAGCACAGGGCTCCCTGGCTGCCCAGATTATGCTGCAAGAAAAAATGGTCCCCACAGCTCCAGGTGTGACCTGTGGGCAGTAGAGGGGGTCCTCATCACTGATTATTGTCCAATACAAACTCTGCTCGTGCGTAGTCCAAAGGCACAGAGCCATTTCTGGCAGCATGAGGATTTGTTCTGCAGAGTCTCCCGGCAGCAGTTACATACTTTGGGCCTGGAAGGCGACACTGCAGAAAACTCTTAACCGCAGTGAATCTCCAGCCCTGCGGGAGGAAGTTGCCTGTGTCTGCTTTCTTTAACAGATGTATCCATTTGTGGAGAGCAGGAACTCAGACTGGTTCTTAGCAGCCTGTCCTCTGTCATGCCTTGCCTGGACTTTTGATGGAGATGTGTGATATATATTTAAGGCTTTGTCTAGAAGCTTGCAAGGCGCCCCCTAGTGGCTGTCTAGCATGGTGTTCACTTTCTCTGCAGGCACCTAATTGTGTTTTAGGACAAAACTAAACAATACCTGTGCATCTGACAGTATTGTAAATCCATCAGTATGTCCCAAGAACATAAATGCTCCATCAAAGGGGTGGCGCTAGAAGTGTATGATTTACTTAAAATCTGTGTCCTGCCAGGAAGCGCAAAGGAGGGAAGGGGAAGTGACAGCCGGCTCTCCAGAGCCATAGCTCAACCAGCCAAGAGTTGTCACTATTAGAAAAATAAATTATGTGTGTACTAAACACACATTCCCTCTTGTGCTCACTTCTTAAACAAGGCAGCGTGATTTGCTTAGAGTTCAGGTTATCTTAGATAATACATCTAGAGATGGCTTAAAATTTTTCAGGAGGAGGGCTGGGGATATGACTCAGTAGCACAAGAGCCTGCCTGGCAAGTACAGGATCCTGAGTTCAATTCCTAGTACCAAATAAACAAACAAATAAAATATGCAGCAAGAGGCCGGGAGTGGGGCTTAGAGGTGGAGCACTTGCCTACTATTGGCTAGGTTGAGGGTTTGATCTGCAGTAGCGAGGAAGGAAGGAAAGGAGCGGGGAAGCATGCATAGGAGGATGTGCATATGTTACAGGAAATGTTATGTTGTTTGAGATGAGAGACCTGTGCATGCAGTAGGTTTGGAATCTGAACTACAACCCAGTTGTACAGGGGACAGCTGTATACAAGTAACTGTCACAACTGAGCACCGTCACTACCCTGCTCTGAGAGCCCAGCACCCTGGAGGACTCACTTGTTCTCCCTCTCCAGGAGGCTACTACCTGACCAGCGCCTATGGAGCCCTGTCCCTCATCAAGAACTTCCAGGAGGAGCAGGCGGCGCGGCTGCTCAGCTCTGAGGCCAGGGACACACTCAGGCAGTGGCACAAGCGGAGGACCGCCAACCGGACCATCCCTTCCGTGGACGACTTCCAGGTGTGCCCTACATACACCCTGTGCCCGAGGCACCGCGGTCCTCTAGTACCTCCTGCTGGGGCTGGGTCTGTTCACAGAATCTTGGGGAGCAGGGGTATTTTAAGCTACCCTCTGACCATGCTGTTTCACTTCTGTTTCCTTAACCATATAGACCTGTTCCTTGGCTCACGGCTGGGCTCTGGCCCCACGCAGAGTAGGAAATAGCCTTACCCAGCCTGACTCAGCACAAAGGTCCCTGCCAGGGGATCACTGGGTCCCCGAGACCTCAGCCACCAACCGCATGCAGGATGAGGGTGGCAGAGGACAGAGACAGAGAGAGTCATAGACAGAGACAGAGAGCCCTGCCCTGTTTCCAAACCTAGGAAAAGACCTAAATTCAAACTAAAGGCTGGGGTTGTCACTCGTGGTAGAGTTCCTACTAGGGCCAACCCCCAGCACCCAAATAATGGTAGTAATAATTCAAAATATGAGGTACAGTTTCTACTGAATACCAGTCACATTGACACTATGATAAAGTTGAAAAATGATAATGTCAAAACCATCGTCAATCTGTGACTGCCTGTATGTGTGTGTAGGTTTGACCCAAATTTTGCTACCCTTACGATGACAAAGTCAAGTTAAGGCAGGATTTCCTCCAAAATGGTCACCTGAATACCAGGCACCTGAAAAGACAGGAGTCTGGTGGTGACACATAAACAGCACACACCCTGCTCTGCAAGCTGCAGTGGGCACTGCAGGGGACTGGCTGGTCTCTGGGGAGAGGGGTACGTGAGGGCACCCTCCACCCCCCATCCTCTCCCTCACTTCCTATACCCAAGATCCCAGGGCCTTGGCTGGGAGCAGAGGGTGACGGGTGCCAGCCCCACTCACACCTGTGGCTGCCGTCCTCATCCCTGTCACCTTCTCTGTCTGGGGCTGGGGCCTGGGATGTGGGTCTCATCATGTTTGTTCTTGGAGAGGAGAGACTCGCTAGTGCTGCAGAAACCCTGGAGATGCAGCAGTACCTGCCTCACTCGTAGTCTGGGAAGCTGGGAGGAAGCCTGTACGTGTCTTTGTGGCGCATTTTTGAGGGTTTCAGATGGAACTAGAAAGCCAGGCTCGGTCCTGTGCAGCACAGTTCCAGGCAGAAGAGTGAAGAAACAGTGTAGAACTGTCTCCTCCTTCATGCTCCCTCCCTCTCTCCCTCCTCAGCAGTGAACCCGGAACTAGGAAAAGAAAATGCCTTTGTTTTCTAGATTTAGCTAGGTGGCCTCGATTTTCTCTGGGAGCCCACCATCCCCACTTGACAAATAAAGGAACAGATACTCTGGGTCCACAAACCCCGAGGAGTCTGGGCTGTGTTTAGGATCCTTGCAACCCCTTCAGGCTCATGAGGTTTCAGATGGTGTACACCCGGCACAGTCTCGGCGCCAAGCCCATGGTTGCGTCCTCTACTTCCTGCAGTGCCGCTTGGCACATGATCGCCCCATCTGCAGTCCCTGGCAGAATCCACATCCTCCTCCCTTGCTGTTTGCCATGGGGAGCCTAGGTTAGGGTGAACCCTGTAAAGTCACTGACCATGGGGCCCACAGAATGGTCAGAGGTCGGCAGTCTCTTGGGGTTCTGCCTAATGTGGTGCCCTAAGGTGATGGTAGCAAGCTCGAAGTCAGGACACTTTAAGTCTCTTCCTGCTGATGTCGGCTCTGGCTCTTCTGCTGTTTGGCTCTTTCTCCAGCTGGGAATAATCCGGCTCCGGATGCCGTTGTCTGACGCATGGTTTATGGAGGGCACTGAAACAGGGCCCAGGGGAAGACAGCCTGCTTTTCTCTGCCTGTGGGGACCTCAACGTGGCACCTCTGTCCCCATAGTTGTCCCCACCACCTTTGAGTTCAGATCAGCTTCTCTTCCCGAGCTTCAGGGGCTGATGTCATATAGGCAGGTCTGACCTTGCACTTGCCTCTCATCGTGCAAGTTATTGCTGTCAGTTTTTCTTTTCTGACTCTGTCCCCAACATCTCTGTCTGCACCTACAGAATTATCTCCGGGTGGCGTTCCAGGAGGTGGGCAGTGGCTGCACTGGCAAGACGCTGCTTGTGAAGCCTTATGTCACCACTGAGGACGTGTGCCAGCTCTGCGCAGAGAAGTTCAAGGTGTGTGACCCTGAGGAATACAGCCTCTTCCTCTTTGTGGATGAAACGTGGCAGCAGCTGGCAGAGGACACATACCCTCAAAAGATCAAGGCCGAGCTGCACAGCCGGCCACAGCCCCATGTCTTCCACTTTGTCTACAAGCGCATCAAAAGTGATCCTTACGGTATCACCTTCCAGGGTGGGGACAGAGACCTCAGCCCTTCATAGGGGGCACATGGGACTTCTGGTTGGTGCCCCACAGCTCACTGGAAGCCCAAGCTGGCTGCCGTGGGTGTGGGCTTGAACGACAGCCACCTCCTGCAGGCCCTCTCAGGTCAGGGACTAAGCCACACCTTTGACCTGGCTGACAGCAGCGTTTGCTGTGTTACCCAGGAAACAACCCAGCGGGCTCTCCTTGGCGGTGGAGAACCCTGCTTGATGGTTCAAGCATCCCGAGGTGGCTGTTCCAGGCCAGCTGACATGTATGGGCACGTGCTAGGTGGCACATAAGGTACACGCTCCCCTCCTGCGTTCCATAGCAGGAGTTTGACAAGACTGTCCGGTGCAGTGCGTCAGGTAGTCCTCAGGTCTGTGGGTGGCTCCATCCTTTCCTTCCTTTCTCTTTTTCTTCTTCTTCTTTTTTTTTTTTAATAAAGAAACTTTGTGTTTTTATATATTTCATAGAAATTTTTATAGCAGTTGCAGGCAAACTGTCAGGATGGGTTTTTAAAATATTTTTGTAACTTTAAAATATTCTGTAATTATGCATGTGATTTTAACACTTAATATTCAAAAAGAAATCTCTTGCTGGATTTGAGAGTATTGTGTTTTAAAAGTCTCTCTTCTGTAACTGGATATTGGGGCAACTTTTGGGGGAGAGACAGCTGGATTTCTTAAAGCAGTGTAATTCCTGACACTGGCCACAGAATGCCTTTGGAAATCGTTGTACTGTTGTCTTGGTCACATGTAGTGGTGTTGTGCTTGCTGTTTCGTGTTGTGTTTTGTTTCAAACAAGTAAGGCTGAAAACACAGAGAGCAGTGAATGTGGAGAGAGGCGGGGGAGAAACACAGACTCTGACAAAGGGCCAACGAGTGTCGTCTGCCGGCTCAGGCTCTTTGAAGGAGGCAGAGGGAACCTTAAACAAGGCTCAGAATACTGTAAATATGTGACAGGATGTGGCAAAAATCTATTCCATATGTTTTCCACTTTTGGAAGCAATTTTGAAAGCCTCACAAGGAAAAAAATCAAGGATAACACTTTTTTCCCCACTTCCAATAAATCAAGAATAACAGCTTCTAGTTATTTTGGGCAGAAACCAAGTAGTGTAAATGTGGCTTTTGTTGCATTCAGTAAGGTGCTGCTGAGTGGGGAAAGCACAGGTAGACCCATCTGCATTAGGATGCAGGGTCAAGGGTCCACCCCAATCTTGCCAAACAAGAAAGAAAGACAAAGAAAAAAGTAGTATGGAGATGTTAGACCTATGTTTTAGAAAAGCCAGCTTGCAGGTGCACAGACTAGAGGGTTGCATCTCAGTGCAACCCAGGTAGAGACAAAACACATCACTGTAACTGCACGGGATGCATCGTCCTCTCACTTGATGGGGTTTGGTCCTTGTACTTTTGCCAGTCCTGAGTTTTGTTGAACAAGAACCTTCAGCACATTCTGTGTTGGACTATCTTTTGTAAATGATTTTTTTTAAATGGAAATTTGCACATAATACCTTGTAATACTGTACGATAATCCTGTGTGAAGATAATGTTTGCAACATTCTTCCATTGTCTGCTTGCCTTCTTTACCCTGCTTTGTGAGTCAGCACCATCAGGTGCTCCTCCACGTTGTATGAATCTGAAGTTGATGGCTCAGTAAAGGAAACTGCAGCCGCAGCCAGCTGAAAGACATAATCCAGGGCGAAGATATACAGCAAGAGTCACTGAGCAGGGATGGGGTGAAAGTTACAACCAGTAGAGGAGAAAGGTCACCTGCTAGTCTGAAAGGGCTTCCAGGTTGTCAGGCAAGGTGCTGGGCTTGGGACAGAGAGCCAGTCATAGTCAATGTGTACACAATCAGCCAGGACCCTGCAGACAGACAGTTCCCGACCTCAGGCAACCTTTAAATGTCTTGGCTCAGAGTGCAGCGCGGTTACAAAATCCACCAGGCGCAGGCTGGATCTGTCCCCTGCTTGGATCCCTGCCCAGCCCTGCTAGTAAGTGCTCAATAAATCCTGAGCACTGAAGGAAAGAAAACATGGAAAGCAGAATGTCCAAGCCATCAGCAGGCAGCTGCTTGCAGATCAGTGGAGGCTGAATGCACCCGCCTACTCCTGATCTTTACAAGATATTTACCAGATAGGTGTCCAAATGCAAACCAGTGTGGCCTTGTCTAGGGAAGCCAGCAGAGCGAACCTGAGCTCCAGGCAGCCTCCAGCAAGAGGCAATAGCAATCAAGATGAGAGAACAAGGGGAAGTGTCACAAGACCGCCGCGTCTGCTCCAGCCGGGCTGCCGGCCACATTTCAACACAGTCTGTGTCTTTATGGTTTCCCCAAGCAGGCATTTCTCACTTCTTGAATTGCCAGGAAACAGGCCGTGGTGGAGTTGGGAAGGAATAAGAGGAAAGTAAAAATATATGTGCTGGGGGAGCCAGAGAGAACACCTTTCCAAATCTAAAAATAATTCTTTCAGAGTTGGATCCCAGCCAGAGGAAGGGATGTGGTTTTTGGACGTTGGATCTAATGCCAGATACCCCTGCTCAGGGGCACGGCTAGAAACAGAAACTGTTAAAAGTTATTCATGTCATGTGGAAGTTACAAACTTTAGGTCTGTAAGAAAATACAAAAGACAGGAAACTGGGCTGGAATAGGAATGTGTCTCCCTCTATTCACCAATGTGGTTCAGCCTCCAACACACACACAGAAGCTCTGAGCTTCATCTGTTTTGGTTGCTTGAAACAGGGCCTCACTGTGTAGGCCAGGTTGGCCTCAAGGCGATCTGCTGCCTCAGCCTCCCCTATGCTGGGATTATAGGGGTGCACCACCATGTGGGGCTGACCTTTATTTTCTATATGAGGGACCTAAATGATGGGTGGCTCTGATTATAACAGCAGTGCAGTATTCTACCCACCTGGCCACGTCTGGGAGGAAGACCCTAAACACCATCCTTTGCAGGCCATTTTCAAGGAGGTGAATTGGAGACCCAATGTATTGTTTGCATTTAGTAAACACTAGTGAAAGTGGAAAAAGAAACATTAATAGAACACTCCAGTGTCAGCAGCTGCTCATAGAGAGAGGATGAGAGGAAGGAGGGAAAGAGCGGCGCCTGTCTCAGGAAACAGGTTCTTTTTTGCAAAAGATCTCTTTAATGTGAAAGAATCGCCCATGAGTGCTAGCTTGTGTCCTCTTCACTGAGTGTAACCAAGCCTTCAGGGAAGTCTCTGGGGCCACAGGTTGCAGTGCAGAGCCTTGGGCTTGTCCAGTGAGCAGCACCTCATCCTGACTGTAGTAGATATGTCCATTTCAAGGGAACCCACAGGGATTCTGAGCCCTGTTGACGCCAATGTCGAGAGCAACGTTCAAAGCAAGTGGGCCCCTCTTGACTCACACATTAAAGTCCTGTGCCCAGGCCTTGCTCCTCACTGGTGAGTAGAGTCACACGGTGGGGAGCTGAGGTTGGCAAGATCCAGGTCACCCACGTCTCTGTTACCAGCCCTCGGGGCTGGGGGATGAGTCACTCCACACACAGGTGTTTTGGGGGAGGCCTCTCCCTTCCCTCGTTGAGCCCTTACTATGACTCTTAGGGTGGGTCTGTCCCAACAGCAAGTTTTTAGATGCATTGGTCTCCTTCCAAGATTCCTCAGCAGAACACAAGCTCTGGCTGGCCCGGTCCTTTTTACAGCTTGGTTCTCTGGCTCCATGCAGAGACCCGTGTGCCCTGCCATCTCTGGGAGTCAGTGTCCACCCCTCCTCCTGACACCGGTGATTCCCGGCACCTTTGCTTTCTCAGTGCGGGAGATCAAACCCAGACCCCAGACACACTGGAGCTTCCTAGGGGAGGAGGGCTGAGAACCACCAGTGTGGTACAGCACTGAGTCAGTGCAGCTTAGGGATAGGGCACACCTGGGAGAGAGACACCTTGCCCAGAGCCACCACCACCACCGAGTCCTGTGCATGCCCCAGGCCCCTTCCTTCCTTCTTTTCTTTCTCTCTTTCTTTTTCTTTCTTTCTTTTTTTCTTTTTTTCTTCCTTCTTCCCTCCTTCCCTCTCTCTCTTTCTGCCTCTCTTTCTTTCTTCTGTGCATGCCCAGGCCTGCTTCCCCCCGTCTTTTTTTTCTCTCTCTTTGTCTCTCTCTCTTTCCTCCCCTCTTGCCCTCTCTCTGTCTCTCCTTCTTTCTTTCCTTCTGTGCATGCCCCACTCAGCCACACAGCCCCCACCATTGCTATCGGGATCCTGAGAGCAAGGAGGCCTATAAACTACGGACCACACCAACCCCTGCTTTCATGAGCCTCTGGTACGTGAAAGTGGTGATGGCTGGGGTCACTGCACCCTGAGCTACTGTAGGACCGGTGTGAATCCACACACACCAAATACTTGAGCTCCACCAGTACCCCTCCACATCGGTGACGATTATCCCAGGTAACCCAGTGCTCGGACCCTTCCCTCTGTGGTTTCTGATTGCCCTCCCCTACTGTTAACTGCTACCAAGGTTCCTGTGGAGTAAAGAAAGTGCCAAGCATTGAGGTTTAAAAATGTACTGGGGTGGGACAGAGTGAAAGTCAGAGGAGAACACTTTCATTAGCTTGGCTGTTGCTGTTGACAGTGGTGAGGGTGGTGGCTGTGTAAGTGTGTGTGTGTGTGAGTGTGTGTGTGAGTGAGTGTGTGTGTGTGTGTGTGTGTGTGTGTGTGTGTAGCATGGATCGGGAGCAGCCATTGCCCCAGCAGCCCCTACTGGCCAAGAGCATCACCAGGAACCAGGATGGGGTGACTCCTTCCAAAGAAGGGGAGAGAAGGGAAAGGGGGTGGCAGAGGCAATTCCAGGCCCTGGAAAGGACCAGAGTGCCACCCTGAGAGACCCTGTCTCCACCTCACCTCCGCCCCCGCCAGCGTCTGCAGTAGTATTTCCCAGAAAGGAATCTCTATATAAGTAAAAAGGTATCTGTACAGCAGTAATTATTATAACTACTGTCTCACAGCTCCTCCCCTTCCTGTTTATTACACTCACTTATTTATGTAGATATTCATGTATATATTTGCATCACTGAACTGAGTTATTCTTAACATAGTTCACTGCAAACAGAGTATTTGGTATACTTTCACACTGTCTTTTGTCTGGGCTTCCTAACTTCTGCCAGTTCTGTAGGTTATGAGAATGGCATTGTATATAAGACAGTTCACCAGCGTCTTTTCCTTTCTGTGTAACCAACTGCCGTATGGAACTATGCATCTACTATGGATTGAAAGAAATGCAAACTGCAAGGGACGCTAAGTGGCCAAAGGCTCCCAGTCCGCTCAGGAGGAAATGGAGAAGTGAAGCATCTCAGGAGAAAGTTTCTGTTTCTCATTAGCACAGGAAAATGCAACTGTCCTCAGTCGCAGAACTCAGCTCACAGACAGGTTGAGGTTGTGTGTGGACAGAGCATCCAACTGTGGGGTGCTCCTTGGAGCCCGGGGGCCTCTTTGGACCTGCTGGATAGAAATCCACACTGGGATTTTGCTGTGGCTCCCATCGTGGCAAGCTGTGTTCAGGGAGGCCCTGAGTTCCTGCCCAGCAGCACAAAGCAAAGCAGCACAAGACAAGAACCTGCACTGAGCTGGTCCCCAAGTGCTGGCCCAGAAATGCCTCACTGCTGGACGCAGGTAAACACATGTGCAGTGTGCTGCTGCTACAGTCCTGGGGCAGCGAGAACATGCTTGCAACATGTACAGGAAATAAGGCTTCAGATCACCCACACTGCCCACTAAGGGCTTAAAATGGAAAGGCCAAGAACTGGGCTTTTATATCCCAGTTACCATCAAACTCTCCTTGGCTCTGATAGGAAAGAAGGGCCTAGCCAGCCTGGGCATGTCTGAAAATGAGGAAGGTGGTCCATGAAGAAGATGTTCTGGGACTCTGCTGGCTTTTTTTTTTTTTTTTTTTGGCTACCATAATGTCTCTTGTTTTCTTCTAAATGGTTGTCTATATCTTCACACACAAGGAATTCATACAAAACACAATAGTATAAAACTGATCAGAACAGAACGATGAAGGCATTATAGGCCTTCAAAACCAGACAATATGAAAATTAATAATGGCTGCCATAATGTCTCTTGTTCTCTTCAAAATAGCTGTCTATACCTTCATGTATGTTGAAATTAAATAATACAAAACAGACTAAAACCACTCTGAATAAAGAATAGAAGTATTACTAGATGTCACAGCATGATGATACCGAATCAGCAGTGGATACCATAATGTCTGTTTTTCTTCAAAGTAGCTGTTCATTTCATCACATATAATATAATCAATTCTCGTAAACTGTTTAGGAGAAATTCTAGGCATGTATAAGCCTCTACATATATTCTTATCCTTTCTGCATTAGAGGGAAAAACAAAAAATTAAAACAGATGACTAGAAAAATAAGCAAAAAAACCAAATAACAATAGCAAAGAGCTCAAAACAATGACAATACAGGCTTTCAAAACACGGTGGTAGGGACAGAACTAAGGTTGATATTTTACATAGTGATCTTCAGAACTATTTGCAAACATGCAAAATTGTTCCAATCCTATGAATATTAACTGCTTTATTCTATGAACTTATAGAATTTGTAGCACAATCATTTAGGTATCCTAAGTGCATTTATATAAATTTAGATTTTTTTCTTTTCTCTTTGATTTTCTCTGAGATACTATTTTTACCCCTTTGAGCAGATTTCACTGTATTTATTGAGGATTTTGTATCTTATGTACTCTCACCATTTCTTACACTAGGGAAACAATATGGTATTTACTCATGTGAGTTTGATTTATTTCACTTGTGAACTCTGCTGGCTTTTCCAGGTACTGTGAGCAGGGCGCTTTCTGTCTGGGCCAGAAGCTTGCAGGTCTCATACATTCAGGGATGTGGGAAGTCACTGGACTTTGTCACCGTGGCAGAGGTCAGCCTGCTTCCTTATGAAGGCATTTCTCCCCAGGGGGATCTACTAATTATTAGACATTTCACTCATCAAGTTTGCAAAATGAAGCAGAGGATTTGGAGCCAGCATCTTTGCTGAGGATGCTAGCTCAGTACAGTGATTCCTGTCACCTTTATCTGGGGGTGGGAGGGAGAACCTGCAGTTTCCCAAATCGAACCCTAGAAGGCTCAGCAGAAAGCAGCAAATGCCAGCGTGGGTGCCTCCTTCTCCAACTCACCCCTCCCACCGGGTGTCTCAGTAATACTTTCCACATTTCTAAAAACATGCTTACGCTGATATTTACTGACTCCTTTTCAGTGCTGGCTGGTCCATTTTTGACATTGTGACCTGGAAGATGGTGAGTCAGCCCCCTACCCCATGTGGCATGTGGCAGCCTGGTTCTTTTCTTGTGGGGCCACAAGATGGGAAGCTCCATGGGCTCTTGGCTGGCTCGGGTCAGCTGGCTGCCTCCCAAGGAGTCTCCCACTCACTGGGCTGTGCACAGGGAGAAATCAGCCGCCAGCATCCTGGGTGCCCATCTGTGCCCCAGCTTCCCTCCTGTGGGGGTTCAAGACGCCTCCTGCCTCACCCTGCTCTCTAGGGATGGACAGGGGTTGGTGCTGGCCCCTTGGGGGACCAGACCTCAGCGTCTCCCCTCGGTTTCATCTGCTGTCCTGCCTGGCCTGCGTCCCATGGGGGCACACCCTGCCTCCCTACCTCTGGAGCTTCTGGTTCCCTCCTTTCTGCTACTGGAAGGAAGTGGGTCCCCAGCAGCCGGACAGCTCCTGCTAGCCCTGCTCCCTCCTTCTATTACCTAGATTTAAAAAAATTCTTTTAAAATTCTCTTTGACTCTCATTTTAGGGCATTGTTGGTAGGAAGATGTATACAGCCTGCCTTGTTTAATTGAAAGTGACAGTGTGTATTTTGTATCTCTAAGTGTATTTTTATTAGTACATGTTTCCAGTATGTGAGGATCACACTCCTCAGGGGAATCGGCCATGTGTATGACATGACTTAATTCTTCTCATGGCCCTGTCCCCTGTCCCCTTTCCTCCACACCTTGGTTCCCTTCTTTTTACAAAAAATCTCGCCAGGCATGGAGGCACACGCTTATAATCCCAGAATTTAGAAGATTGAGTTCAAGGCCAGCCTGGACTACAAAGTGGGTTCAAGACCAACCTGAGCTGCATATTGAAACCCTGTCTCAAAAAGACAAGGAAGAAGGGAAAAGAAGGAGGACGAGGAGGAAGAGGAGGAAGAGGTGGAGGAGCAGGAGGAGAAAGAGAAAGAGAAGAAGAAGAAGGAGGAGAAGGAGAAGAAGAATTGTAAATGCAGTCCCCACCCAGTACCTGAGCTGCTTATCATACTCAGGGGTTATCAAAGGTATCCCCTTGAATTTTGTGCTCAGCACATAATCTGAAGAACAAAGAAGTTGAGACCCTAGTGGTCTGGCTGTGTGAAGTGTGAGATTTTGCAATGAAGACCACAATTCTGGGTCAGCACTATTTACAGAGAGCGCATGGTGTTTTGTTTCAATGAGTGGGAAAACAGTTTGTGATTAAATGTGGTAAAAACTTGTCTTTTTTTCCAACTAAGCAGGAAAGGAAATTACTCAACGTGCAGTGATAAATAAGTCCAGTGAGTCATCTTTGATGCAGGGAAAAAGTGCAGCTGGGACAGAAACTGTGTTTCCCTGTGTTGTAAAAATAAAAGCCAACATTTGGAGATAGAAACCAGTCAGTGTATGTCCTAGGGGTGCAGAGCACTGCGGGCTCCTGGGAGTGTCATGTGATTTGGGCTTCTCAAAGAAATTCACGCAAGCAGTGGGGACTACTCTGCAAAGGCCACATTGATTCTTTTAAAGTTAGGATAACTAAAGCTTAACTTGGATACAGTAAAATACACTCTAGCATCCATTCTGCAGATTTTAAAATTTGTTTTGTTTTGTTTTTTGAGACAAGGTTTCCCTGCATAGTTCAGGTTGGCCTTGAACTCACTATGTAGATCGGGCTAGCCTCCAATTCATGGGTGTGGCTCTGTGGTGCAAGGCAGGGTTCCATCCTCAGTACCCCAAAAGTAAACAAATTCAGCTACAAAGAGTGAGTGTGAAGTTCTGTAGGGTTGGACACGGTGTATTCCTGGGTGGCAGGATTCTGAGTTGTCTGTTACTCTCTTTTTTCTCAGTCTACAATCTCTTTTTTCTTTCCTCCCTCCCTCACTTTCTGTTGCTTTTTCTCTGGTACTGAGGGTTGAACTTAGGGGTCCTCTATCCCTGATCTATACCTCTAGCCCTCTATACATTTCATTTTGAGACCTGATCTTCCTAAATTACCCAGGCTGACCTTGAACTTGCAATCCTACCTCAGCGTGCCAGGTAACTGAATCACACTTCTTAATTTTGCGTTCATATCCCTTTTATTAAAGCAGCACAGGCCTTTCAAACTACAAGTAGCCTCCATATGCATTTGTAAAGAGCCACTGAACAAGTGTTGACGCCTTCAAGGCATGCTGCATGTGGGGTAGGCGCCAGGGCACTGGCACCACAGAGCTGAGAGTGAGGATCCCTAGGTAGGGATAGGTTTTTCGTGTTGTTAGAGAAGCAAAGCCAGAAAAGGAAAAAAAGACCTTTATTGCGGGCCCAAGAAGGCTGCAGAAGATTGTAGGATCTCTCTGAGGCCCATCAAAAAGCTGGGAGGTTTTATTCCGATCGGCAGGGGGTGGAGTTTGAAGGGGCGGACAGCATGACGTTTTGACAGCTGATTGAGAGAATGAGGACGAGCAGGACAATCCGGAAGTTCCGTTCGGGCTTGGAAGAAGAACGGCAAGTCTGTATTGAAGAGAGGTACCGTCTGTCACACTAGGGCTCAGTGTTGCTTGGGCAGGCGCCAGCCTGATTAATATGGGGGAACCCATCAGTTAGGAGTTCGCTGGTCCAGACCCGTGCCCCGAATGCCAGGCTCCGGACCAGGCCGCAGGCTGCATTTCCTGCCTTCCCTGAGCTGCATTTATGCTGCCTAGCACAGGGCTGAGAGCTCAGGCATTCACCCTTTGGCCACCTGCGGCGGGGCCCGTGTCCTCAGTGCGGCCTGCATCCTCCTGCCCGACCAGCTGGGTGCTGACCCTCAGGAGCGGAGTAGGTGAGCCGGCGCTCCCCGCCCCCTGCTGTCTGGCAAGCCCTCCACTTGCCACTTCCATCCCTGTCCTATGACTGCTAGGCAGGGTCCTGTGTGACTCGGAAGACGACCCTGGGTCAGCGTCTAAATCCGCAGTTGCAAACTTGTGGCCCAAAGTACCCTTAGTGTTAAATCCATGTTCTGAGTGTGTGAGCATGTGTGTGCGTGTGTACTTAGATTATACCCAGAGCCTGCATATCGAGCTACATCCTCAGTCCTTTTTTTGTTTTTTAAAACAAGCTCTCTCTAAGTCACTACATTGCCCAGGCCATGTTTCCATTTAGGATCCTCCTGCCTCAGGCTCGAAGAGTGCTGGGATTATAGGCACATGCCACAATGCCCAGCTCAGAATTCTTAACTATTAAAGTTAACTTTCCTGTTTTTTGAGACAGAGTCTTACTATGTAGCCAGGCCCCAAACTCAGAGCAATCTTTCTGGCTCAGCCTCCTGAGTGCTGGGATTACTCCGCAATGTTAACTTTTTAAAAAATGTTAACTGTTTTACATTTAAATTTGAAAGTGAAAGGATTTTGCCCCAGATAGATATTACAGCAGTGGGAGGCAGAACCAAGGGAGGTTACTCTGAGGTCATTTTCCCTTCCCCTTTGACAAAACTTACCTGTGGCGTGCAAAAAGTCCCAATCAGCTGCTCATGCAACAGCAATGCCACAATAAGCACTACCCCAGTCAGAAACTGTATGTATGTCCCCTACCCCACGTTTCCAGCAGAGAAAGCCAGGCCCTGGCCGTCATAGGGTCCTCTCCATGTTCTTAGAATAAAGGCCACTTTTACTTTATATTCTCCCTTTATTGTGCCGGAAAACCCTATCAAGAAGGTGATGTTGCCTTCAGTTATTTGGAAACTGGCATGCTTGGGAATACTCAAGTGTGGGCATATGCTTTGCAGGCAAATATTTTATGAAATCGAAATCCAGAACCAGAATTTCCCATTATGGCTGGGTTTGGTGGCACATGCCTATAATTCCAGCACTGGGGAGGCTGAGGCAGGAGGACCTCCATGAGTTCAAAGCCAGCCTGCACGACATAGTGAGAACCAGACTCAACAAAGAAATAAGAATTTCTCGTAACAATTTCTCTTTCAGATTAAAACATGCTACAAATGTAAAATACAACAGATTTTAAAGGCTTAATACTGAAAAAACAATGAACTATTTTGTCAGTTTTCTTGTATTGATAATACATTAAAATAATATTTTGGATATCCTGGGTGAAATAAAACATAAAATCAACTTCAGCTTTTTTCTCCTGTTTTTAAACGTGGTCCTGGGCAATTTGAGATTACAAAATCGCAGCCCTGCACGGCTTCCTTGGCGATTCCAGACTCCGATCGCCAGAGGGAGCCGCATTGCTCATGGCCGCTCAACTGGTTGCCCGGAAGTAGTTTCCGGCCCCGACCCTCGGCTGCCGTGCGCGGGGTGACTTCCGGCAGAGTGGACGCAGGCTCGCGGGGGTCCTCTCGGTGCTGGCGGAGAGTCGCGATGACCACGCTGCGGGCCTTCACCTGCGACGATCTGTTCCGCTTCAACAATATGTGAGTGCGGTGCCCTGGGCCGCCGCGTCGCACTCTGGCCAGGCCGAATCCCCGGCTTCCCCTGCACCCCCGGCTTGCCTTGCTCCCGCGCGGCGCCGGTGAGGCTGGGGAAGCGTCCAGCTCGGGCCCCTTGCACTGGCCCGGTTCAGGCGAGGCCAGAGACTTGTAGGCACGTTTTGTTAAAACAAATTGTAAGCCCTCAAAAAGTTGAGAGAGAATTGAGTCGCGAGCCCCCTGCAGGTGTCGTTTTGCCGGGGCGGCTTTGTTATATCTGTGTCCATTAGTGGCAGCGCCTGTATAACCGAGCAGACAGAGAGACAGAATGCCTGGCTTCGGCTCCATGCTGAGGGCTTGAGGGGAAAAGTTTCCGTTGGGCCCATCTTGCACTTGCCCCGAGTGCCCGATCCATTCGATCCTCGTAGCTCTGAGGTGCTGGCCTCTCGCTTCTGATAAAGGAGCTGGTGCTCACCCAAGTGAATCGCTTCAAGTGATGGATCCCTGGGCAAGGAGTTTTATCGGAGTAGATTGGTTGGCTCTGCTGCTTCTTAAAAAGTTGGTCCCCCCGCCACAGGGGATGTTTTGGAATTGCAGATTCTCAGCTGTTTGGAAACCACTGTAAGAACTGTAAGACCTTTTGGTATCTGTCTTGGTTACTTTTCTTTCGTTGCTGTGACAAAATGCTTGACGCTTAAAATGAAGGAAAGAACAGTTTATTTAGCTTACAGTTTTTGGAGGTTTCAGTCCATACTTAGCTGGCTCCAAGCCACGGTGGCCTGGCCGAGGTTTAACTGTTAATGGTGGCTGCAAATTATGAGAGCTAAAAGGGCAAAAGAGAGAAAAGAATCCCTCCTTCCCTCCCCTATGTTGTATGCTGGTCCTCGCTCCTGGGTGATACAGCACTGGCACCACCAATCCCTGGCTAGACAAGGAACCAATCACAAATGCTAGACTCAGCCACCTCCAGGACTACATGAGGCTTTGAGGGGCCCCCCAGACACAGACCATAACAGTGTCCTTGGGGGATGGGTCCTAGGACCCACCATAGATACATAAATTCAGCGATGCAAATGTATGTTTTTTACAATGGTGTGTTATTTGCATTTAACCTGCAGGGGAAAGCTTTACAATTATACCGTTGTCTCTAGTTGATTCATGTTAACATGTAGTCTATTATGTATTTTTAAGAGAGTATTTTAGGTTTTAAAATATTTATAGCCACAACCCATATAAACAATATGGTAATTATTTAATGTACAGGAGGTTTTGAAACCAGAAAAGGTGAGAAGTGTTGGACTAGAGAAATGCAGTCGGCCTGTCAGGCATCATAAAGGTCCCTAGAGAAGAATTTGGCAAGAAATGGGAAGGAGAGGATTGAGAGTTGCTGGTTTTGAGCCCAGCTGCGGTGGGGGACCTGGTGCGGGACCCACTCCAAGGACACACAGTGGGAGGTGTGGAAGGAACATGGTGGGAGTCCCCACAGTGGAGGTGGAAGAGAAGTCATGAGGGAAGCCCCGAGACAAGTCCAGGATGCCTGTGTAGTAGGATGGTGCCTGAGTGTGGCTAGGTGGCTGTTTGTCCCAGATGCTTACCTGATGGGGCACAGACTCTGCCAGAAAAGTTCCAATGTACTTTGTAACAGTTAAATGGTTTGTAAAGAAGCACTTCAAGGAGAACATGTAGACACCTTTATAGGTTCTGTGACAGCTCCTTGTGGGTTCTTCAGCTCCATGCAGGTTTAGAGTTGCATTTTGGTTGCTTCCAGTATGTTCCTTTTAGCTTTAGCAAACTGCTTTAATCTGGGTTTTGTGAACAGCTTACTATTGACATTACTTTTTTTTTTTTTCCTAGTAACTTGGATCCTCTTACAGAAACTGTATCCTTTTTTCAAAAATGTTATATGGAGATTTACTAAGAATAAAGAAAATGGAACTCCCTGGAAAATGAGAGGTCATGAGTTTGATCCCTGGTACAAAGATTAAAAAAAAAAAAAGAAAACAAAGTGGAGAAACAAAAGGAAAAAGCAGGCCTGGTTACTGAAGAATCTGAAAACTTGTAGGTGGGAAAAGCACTAAAGTTTTCCTTTTTAGAGTAAGAAGAGCTGAGCTGCCTGTCCCTATAGGTTGGTGGCAGGGGAGTGGAGATGCCTGCTGCAGCCCAGCTGCACCCCCTCAGCTAAAGGCTGCACCACACAGTGAGAAGCTCCTCTGTGGCAGTGGCTTTCCCCCTCCTGGAGCGGTTCAGGATGGGCCTTAGCTCCCAGAAGTTGCCACAGGCTGAGGTGGAAAGAAGAGAAATCATGCCTGTTCTTTGCAGTCTAACTGCCCTGCCATCCCCATCGCCGCCTTGGTTTCCTGCTCAGGCAGCTGCAGAGCAAACTTCACATCTGGATCTGCCACAGAATATGCAGAGGCGCTGACAGTGTCCTCCCTGTGAAAGGAGACCTCTCAGAAGCCTCCCACGGCCCTTCTGGGTCTGGATGATCAGAGTCTGCTCTGAGGGGGCGCAGAGGGAGGAGGAGGGGTTCCTGAAATGTCTCCAGATTTAGGCTGAGACTGGCACTAATGCCAATAAAGCATTTGGAGTAACAAGTAGCAGTCTCTATTGTTCTCCCACTAGAAGAGTGGGTGGAAGTGTGGAAAAGTTAGGGTGTTCTTTGGTTGTAGTATGGTAACAGATAACCTCCATGTCTTCTGTGGCTTCAAGCACAAAATTGGATTTCTGCATCGTGCTCCATGTTCTTTGCAGTGAGTAAGGACTTCTAGGAGCTAATTGTTTCCTGAAAGAGAGCTGAGTGAAGGCCAGTGAACATATTAAGAATCCACAACAGTTTAGTCTCCCAGTCAAAAGCCTTCTGTGGTAATCCCAGCACTCTGGAAGGCTGAGGCAGGAGAATTGAAAGTTTGAGTCCTGCTGAGCAATTTAGCAAGACTGACTCAGAAAGACAGAGGAGCTGGGAGCTGGGGACTTAGCTCAATGGCACAAGCGCCTGCCTAGCAAGCTTGAGGTCATGAGTTTGATCCCTGGTACCCCCCCCCACCAAAAAAAGAGGAGCTGGGATATAATTCAGTGCCAAGGCCTGGGTTCAACCCCAGCTGGGGGAGGAGGAACCAAGCTAACACCAAAATGACAAGCCATGTTTAACGTCTCAAATCATCCAGAACAAAACAAAACAAAAACTCAGTGCTGGTTCTGGTGGGGGAAGGCCTCCTCTCTTTAATTGCTAGTGGTGATATCAGCTGGTGCACTCTTTTCTGGAAGGTACTTGGGAAGGGTAATAGTAATTCCAGGTCTTGAAAATAATAACAGTTGCATTTTATGTTGGAGGCTAGCAAACTAAGGTCCATGGTCTAACTAGATAGCCCATTGCTTGTTTTGCAGATTACAATTTATTGGGGTACGTTTGTGTGGGTTCATTTATATATTGCATACAGCTTTCGCGGTTTGGATAGATGTTCACAAGACCTGTGTATGGCCATAACTCCAACACAGGCACTGCCTGGCCATTTGCACAAAGTTTGCTAACCTCTGAGTGGCATAATTACACAATTATTCCTGGAGAATTAAAATTTTGCAATTGTCAGGGATGTAGCTCAGTGGCACAGCACCTGCCTGGCAAGTGTGAGGTTGTGAGTTCAATCCCCAGTACCAAAAAAAAAAAAAAAAAAAATTTTTTTTTTTGGAATAACCTTACATCAAAAAGGAGATGCTTAAATAAAGTAAGCAGTATTCATGACAGACTTAAACTCTGAGGACTGGGGTGTAGCTTAGTGGCAGAGTACCTGCCTAGCTCTCGGAGACCCTGGGTTGGCTCCCAGTATGCAGGTGCTGGCCTCTTAGTGGTACATATGGAGAAGTATGCTGTGGATGTTGCGCTGGACTTGGTGTGTGGGAGAGGCAAGGGAGATGGTGGTGGCGTGTGTCTGGCTGGGTGGCAGAAGGCCGGCTGGCCTGCCTTAGTGAGGGTGTGTTGGAAGAATTCCTAGCATCAGACTGACCTGCAGAGGAGAGCGAGCACCTTCCTGGTGCTTACCCTGTTAAATGCAGGCTTGGTTGGTTTAGTCCGCTCATGAAGGTGTACCAGAGCTCATCACCCCGAGAGCAAGGTGCAGGAGTGGGCACCTCCCAGCGAGGATGACCCAGGGTCTGGGGCAGTGATGAGTATTCATTCATACTGTTCTCTGTATGTGACTCCTGAAGTCAGCTCTGCTCTACAGCGCTAGAATCAGTGGAGGGGAAACTTGGTAACTGGTAAGTTGCCTCTGGAAGGACTTTGGTTGTGAAGTTCTTTTTGCAGTCTCCTGGTTCCTAGTTGAAGCCTCAGTAGGAGCCAGCTGTCGATTTCCCAGCACAGCTGGAGAAGCCTGAACATCGTGCCACTTTGAGCTGAGTACTGGTGTGCAGGCCTGGCACTCAGTTCAGAGGTGGTGTTGGGGCAGGAGATAATATGCAGAAAATGTGTGATATAAGCAAGGGGAAGCAGATTGCAGAAGAGCTTCGGCATCCTGGTTCTCTACTTAAAACTATGGTGCTGTCTCTACCCGTATTGGAAATGGTATGTCCTGGTAATTTTGTTGAAAACTGACAGTAAACTAAGTATTTCACATGTAGTATGATTGTAGAAGTTGTGTGTGTATAGAGCTAGAGCTGAATAATATGCTGAGGATTTTATGTGTTTGTTTTTGGTGTTAGAGATCACACCTGTGGCTTGCACACATTAGACAAGTGTTCCACCACTGAGCTATGTCTCCAGCCCTTTTTATTTTTCCTTGAGATGGGGGTCTCACTCAGTTGCCCAGATTGACCTTAAATCAAAGTCTGCATGCCTTAGCTTCTTGAGTAACTGGGATTATAGGTGTGTACTGCCACAGTTTAGTATGCTTCCAAAGGAACTTTTCCAAAGTATCCCTTTAATGAAGAACTTTGTTCTTTCATACTCCTTAATGCACTGCAGTATGGGATTCCCTTTTACTTACAGTACCTTGCTCACTGGCCGGAGTATTTCATCGTGGCGGAGGCTCCTGGGGGAGAGTTGATGGGCTACAGTGAGTATTACCCCAGGATCCTGTTCCGGGTAGCAAGACACAATTCTGATGTGGGGTTGGTTGTTTCCGACTGGAGGACTAGAGGGATAAGCCCGGTACCTGTAAGTTTATTTCTTTTCCTACCATTCAGCAGCTTTGTGATCTCGTCTTAGACATTGTGGTAGCCTAGGGCTAGCAAAACCTTGGCCTGGGAATTATCTTAGTTTTAGGTACAAGTCCCCGTGAAATGCAGACAGTGAAAAATGTACACATGCAGGTTTTTGTTCAGAATTAGTTGAGTTTTTAGTATGTCATTTAAAAAATCCTTTCTTTTTTTTTTTTTTTTTTTTGTCTTTTTCCTTTTTATCGGTACCGGGGATCGAATTCACGACTGCCTGCTTGCAAGGCAGGTGCTTATGCCGCTGAGCTAAATCTTCAGCCCTAAAAAATCCTTTCTTAAGTCTGATCCTAGAACTAAATGTAGTGTTCCATTTGCATATGAATTTTAAGTATAAGGACTTAACTCATTAGCTGGCTGGCCCTGAGTAACACTGACAATGAGTATTTTGTCATTATCATCCCTCATCATAGAGCTGCCCCCAGAGAGGTTCTGTGGTCCAAGTCCGTGTGCCTAATTACACCATGCCGTTCTTTTGCTGGCAGTCATGGGCAAAGCAGAAGGCTCTGTTGCAAGGGAGGAGTGGCATGGCCATGTCACAGCTTTGTCTGTCGCTCCTGAATTTCGGCGCCTTGGTTTGGCTGCTAAGCTCATGGAGTTACTGGAGGAGATCTCAGAGAGGTGAGACACTGCTCTTCTGTACCACCCGGGACTCGCGCGCTCTTCCTTCCCATTATGCTCTGCCGACTACCTGTAAGGTTCCTCTTCTGGCTAGGTGACTGTCCCAGTTTCACACTATGGCTCAGTCTCACAGCTCTGTCATGCATGTTGCTGCCCTGGTTTGCTGTGTCCCATAGGCTGTGGGCTGGGTAGGGTGGGTTCGACTCTACTGTCACACGCTTCTGTGCCAGCTCATGCTACCGTGGTGCCTTCATCTGCCCACGTCTCGAATTGATCCACCTGGGGCAACAGTAGGTTCACAGTGTCCGTACTACAAGAGGAAATAATTCAGTCTCAGGCTTAATAACTACGGTCATTATAATCCAACAGCTATTAGCCATTTAGGAAAAAACACATTGAAGTAAAATGTGCTCATTTCTTGTTTAGTTGTGACTACCATTCTTGAGGTGTGTGTGCTTGGTGGGCGTCTGATGACTTCTGGACCTCGAAGCAGCTTCCTAACCGCCCCTGCCTTCTGTGTGCCCTGATGCTCCTGGGCATGACTTGCGTGCAAAACCGGCTGCCAGACACTGAGTTTCATAAAACACCACAGCCCTGAAAGGAATGCAGCATGATGTGACACTAACTTTGCTAACTGCTTTAACATTTACCAGTATCTGACAAGCAAAGTTTGTGGTGTTTTTCCCTTGAATACAAGGACATATCCTATGGCTCCTCTGAGTTGGGAAAACCTTAATACATAGTCTGGGATCTGCTGCCTATGTGACATTTAGGTGGACTCGGCCTTCTGTATCCATCAATGCCCTCACTGTGTGATATGAGGTTGCCCAGTAACTAAAAGGAGGCTTCCCGGCTTACTCCGGAACAGGAGAGACAGCATGCCTGTGGGCCTTGCCAGGCCTCCCTCCCCTCTCCAAAGTGGAGCCACAGAGAGCTGGGGGCGAGCACAGTGCAGCAGAGGCTTCAGGTGCAGCCTGAGCCCAGAGGTGGGCAGAGGTGGTGTGGCTATAGTGGAAGTCAGCTGTGGGCTCTGAGCCTTTCTAGAGTTCTCTGTAGAGTGAAGAAGGGAGGACGTTCGTTCACAAGATACAGTTCACACACCTTATTATTGACATCCTTATTGGGAAAGAGGACAGAGAGATGGGCGGTGGGTCTAACCACTGTGACCCTACATGTAGGATTTAATGTATTTGTAGATTTTCTCTTTTTGAGTAGAAAACCACTAAAGCTTCATTATTTTAAGACAGCTGCTGAGGTGTTTAAGGTATTTACTTGTAGGAGTGTGTGTATAGATGCATGTACACATGTGCTTGTATGTGCGTTGTTTTTTTTGTTTTGTTTTGTTTTTTTTGTCTTTTTCATTTTTATGGGTACCGGGGATCGAACTCACGACTGCCTGCTTGCAAGGCAGGCGCTTATGCCGCTGAGCTAAATACCCAGCCTCTGTATGCGTGTATTTTTAATGTATACATTAAAAATAAAATAGTACATAATTCCCAGACAACACAAAAAATGGAATGATAAATATTGATACGAAACAAAAGAATAAAACAAAGTATAAAATAAGACTATAGCAGTGAACCCAGATACTATCTGTGGTTAAAATAGTAAATGTTAATGGATTAGCAACTCTAGTTAAGATGGCCAGAATCATATTCTATTTATAGGAAATATGTATGAAGGTTCAAGAGAAGAGAAGATTGGATGTAAAGAAAAATTTTAAAATTATCATGCAAAGCCTAGCGAAAAGCAAGTTGCTGTCCTTACAGTAATAATAAATTGTGTTTGAACAATTATTAGCAGAATAATGCATACATCTCCATACAGATTAAAAGATTTAATCACATCAAAAAGTTATAACAATTAAAATTTTATGTACTCATTATAGGTTCAAAGTAAAAATCCAAAGCTACAAGGACAGAGAGACAAATTGTTGCCATAATGAGATTTGAACATGCTTTTTTCTGCCAGAATAGCCTGACAGAAATTAGCTAAAGGTATTGAGCAAAGATCAGCAAGTCTTTTTTGGATCAGATGGTAAATATTTAGGCTTTGTAGCCCACCAGCGTCTACCATGTACTGCTTTTGTTCCTGTTTTTAATGTTCAAAATGGTAAAAACCACCTTTAGCCCAAAGGCAATATAGAAATGGTTTATGGATCTTTGAAGGATTTCAGCAGCAGCCACATCTCTTTCTGTAAAGAAACGAGGCTTCTCTGGAAATTTTTAGTGGATAGTTAGGAAATAACTACTCTAAGGTCACTGTTTTACTTTCTCAAGGAGGAAAGGTTTATTTAGCTTGCAATTTGTTGAGGTTTGGACCACATTGTCGGCTCTAAGGCAGGGTGAAGTGGCAGACAGGCCTTGCAAAGGAGAAATGATCTTTAGTGGGCACAAGGCAGCAAAGCAGCAAGGAGTGACCACATCTTTCCCTTGAATCTTATTCAGGCTATATGGGGCGGGCAGCATCCACACCCTTAGTCCTAGTGCCCTCTGGAGCCTTAAACCCTATCGTTACACCTGTAGATCTAGCCAGCTCTGAAAAATCCACTTGCGACTGTATGAGGCTTTGGGGGACATCCAGACACAAACTGTAACAGTCACTTTTTACGCAAGAACAAGTATCTGGGAGGAGCATTCTGCAGCTTACCTTTAGGGCTGCGGTAACCTTGATAACACTTCCTGACTGGAAAACATGAGAAGGGATGATGGGAGGAAATCTCCTTGGCTGTAGAAATGCTGAAGGAACACAGCAAGATGGGCTAAATAATGAGTGAGGAGGAGGATGCATCAGGTGTGAGGCTGTTTCAGCTTGAGACTGAAGAGCAATTGTCAGTTCATTAACAGATTCACAATGGGCTGTAGTCTATGGCTTTCTGCAGGGTGGCTTGAACCATTGGTGGTCCAGGCACTTCTGTGGAGCGACTTTTTACTAAGAAAAGTAAAAAAGACTGATAAATGTGATTAGATCCTTTTGTGGCACTAGTGGTACAGGTTTCCTGATGGGGTAGTCATGTGTGGATCACTGGGAGATCAAGCCAGCAGAAACTGTTAAATGCAGTAAATTTGATATAATCCAACATTCTTGATAAGACTTTTGCAAACTAGATAATAGAGTGGAGAATAACTGCCAAAAAACTTGATATATTTTACAGGTAGGATCATACAAATAGAAAATACACAAAAACCTACAAGTAAATGTTTAGAATTCATAAAAATAAGGCAGTATAAAATCAATTATATATTAATATACAAAAACATTAAAATACAGAATAACATGCCATGACGGTGGCATTAACAGATACTTAAAAAGTCACACATGCTAAGTGTGAGCTCTCTATTGTTTATGAAACCTACATGTGTGAAAGACTGTAGATTAGGGGACATTGCAAGACTTGCAGCTGGCTATATGTGCAATGGTCAAAATCCCAGGTATTTTAAGCTGATTCTATCTAAAACATGCAAAAAAGAAACAAAACAGTCTTGGAACAACAAAATGAGTGTGTCTGCCCCTCCAGATAGCAGTGTGTAATGAACGAGACTTCCTTGGGCAGCTGTTTGGACCAGTGGAACACAGTATGAGAAATAGGCCTAAGGATAGATGATTTGGACACCTCAGGCGGCCCTGCCTTTTCAGTACAGGCTGACTATAGGGGAAGTTTCCCAGGTTTCTCTGCTTCCCATACACAAGTCAGTTCTGGATGCATGAAAATTGTAGATGTGAAGAGCAAAACTCAGAAGCCCTGAATGTAACATGCACGAGTCTCTTTGATCTCAAAGTAGGAAGAACTCCTTAACCAGGTGATAAAAGGTGATGAGTGTAAAGGGGAGACATGTATTCAGCTTTAAGTAGAGTAACAACCAAACATACCATAAACATAATAACAAGCCACAAATCGGGAAAAGATATGCAATGCTGCATATAAGGACTATATAGAGAATGAGGGTTGGTGAAATGCTGTACAGGAGAAATCTAGATGGTCAGTTAACAGTTATATTCAGCCTCTAGTAATCAGAAATGCAAGGCAGATGCACACACTCCCAGCACACTAAGAAGCTGAGGCAAGAGGACTGCAACTTTTGAGTCCAGCCTGGGCAACTTAGTGACTTAGTAAGACCCCATTTCAAAATAAAAGATCTAGGGAAGTGGCTCAGTTTGAAGACCCTAGGTTCAATTTCCAGTACTTTAAAAAAAAAAAGGAAATGCAAACCACAGTCACACTGAGATGCCACTGTACCATGAGACTGGCAAGAACATGTGGCGTGCCCAGCCTTGCTGCTGTAGCCACCATGTCGGTTGTAGGTTGGCACGAGATTGGAACACAGGTTGGCATCCTCTGATGAGGCTGAAGGCGTACGTGCTTTTGTGGCAGTGCCGCCCCTCTGAGACCTTAGAACTGCACCATGACATGAGGTGTTTAACACTATCTGCAGCAGCATGGTTGGTTCATAGTAGGAGAGGCTGGAAAGGTTTTTCATTGGAACTGTGGACTACTTAGGTACAAGAGGTGATCGAAAACAGCAGGTATTTAATTTAAAAATGATAGTAAAAGACACATTGTTATTAATCTTCCTCAAAATCCTCCCCTTGCTTCAAATACACCCCATTTCACTTGCGCTATCTGAAACAGCAGTGAAGTCTTTTATCTTTATGAGGAGTGATCAAAACCAAGTGTGTTGTGGCTGAGTGCCATCTAATGGAGAGGCAGGCTCCCAACAACATGACACTGTCCTCCCTCATTCACCGGATCCAGTGCCATGTGACTCCTGGCCCAACATCAGATTGACCATGAAAAGGAAACACTTTAAATTGATTCAGGACACAAAGGCAGGATAGGACAGCACAACTAAAGACACTCAGGAAAGAGAACTTGCAGACCTGCTTCAGAAAGTGGCGAGAACCCTGGGATGAGTGTGTTGGGGGGTGGGTAAAGATGATCATGGCGATATTTCTAGTTTAAACATGTTCTGTATTTTTCATCTGCGTGTGTGATGGAAGATCAGGGTGCTCCAGCCACTCAGGAGCTGGCTCACAATACTGACTGTGAGAAACAAATGACAGGCATGCGCAGTCCGATTCTGTGAGTTCACAAGCAGGACCCCAGCTGTCAGATGTTGGGGATCTGCAGCAGAAGTGGGGAGCAGTCTCGACAGCAGTGAACATGTGCTGTGCTGACTCACTTATAAAATGTGCATTCCCGGGAGCAGAATTACAAAACATTTTGGTTTATCTTTAAAGAAAACATGTATTACAGCTTTTTAAAACTGCATGAAAAACATTCTTTTTTTAAACCACAAAATAACTCAAAAATCCTGAACAATAAAAGTTACTATTATGATGTAGTCAGCAGCAAGACCAAGTTACTCCCATTAAACCAAAGGAAAAAACAGATGTTTTTATAAAAGCAGGCAGCTGTTATTCCCATAGGCACTGACGTTCTCCCCTGTCTTTCTCTCTTTAAAGAAAGGGTGGGTTTTTCGTTGATCTCTTCGTCCGAGTGTCTAACCAGGTTGCAGTGAACATGTATAAGCAGTTGGGCTACAGCGTGTACCGGACAGTCATAGAATACTACTCAGCCAGCAACGGGGAGCCGGACGAGGATGCCTATGGTAAGCATAGCCTCAGCTGACAGAGTGCGTCTCCCTCGGAATCTGGCCGAAGTTGGGATAGCCCTTTTAGGAGAACTTTTGCTATACACTTTAAATCTGACACAGTGTGGTGCTGTTTGAGTGCTTACATTAATCTGCTTTGTCACAGATATGAGGAAAGCGCTTTCCAGGGACACAGAGAAGAAATCCATCATCCCGTTACCCCACCCAGTGAGGCCCGAGGACATCGAATAACCTTGGGCAGTGGCTCTTAGGCAGACTGACGTCCACTAGTTATGGAGAATTTTATTTGCATTGGATGATCGCGAAGCACTTAGATTAGGAGAAAAATAATCATTTAGATTTTAAAAATTTCAAGAAAGTATGTTATAAAGTATATTTTAAATCATCACACCTACTAAAGCTGTTCGCCACAATGAAATTCAGAAGGCCACTAGATCAGGACAGTGCCGCTGTCGCCATTCAATGTCCACCGTGTGCCAGGGAAAAAGTCTCCCTTCAGCTTCTTCTGTTCTATGCCTGAGAGCCACTGCTGCACATGTATATTTGTTTTGTTTTGAACTGTCTGCTGAAGCTTTAAAAGCATATATGAAATGGGTTAATCTAAGATGTCTAATAAAAGACACTGCCAACTGAGCGTCTCCTGTACATACGTTGGTCATTCACATAAATCAGGTCTGTAAAGACTCACCGTTTAGGATGTGTAGTTTCTCTATAGGACATTTTTTAAGTGCACATGAGAAATAATTGCTGCCCAGGACATTTGAACTTACTACATATATTTTTATACTGTTGGTCCTGAATTTTTTCCTTTCACAGTAGTTTGCTTAAGTCCTCCCTTAAACAAAACAAAACCCCAAAAACAAAAAGAAAAACTTGAGTTTCTGTTTTAAAAGAAGCAGCACTCACTCTTAAAGGCAGGCCGCATAGGAGTCACCAGCCACCTGTGTATTTTCATACCTGTAGTAGAGAGTCCAGTGAGTAACAACAGAAGGGTACACATGGAATGGGTCACATCTTTTACTTTACAAAAGACTGGTTTTGGCAGAGGACAGGAGAGAAGTGAATGCTTTCTGTGGACACCAGCACGCACTTGTCCTCACTTGGACAATGGCTGATCACTGACCATTTCCTGAGCCATGCAGCATAAACAAATGTTGCCAGGGCTAGGACAGCCGGGATTCAGTGACTGTTTTCATCTCACCCCTTGCTCCTGCACCAAAGACTCAGTACTTGATAGGCAGAACCACTGACATCCAGAGTCTGAATCCAGGCCAAGGGCTTTTTTTTTTTGGAAGCAGGGTCTTGCTCTGTAGTTCAGGCTGGCCTTGAATTTGATGTGATCCTCCTGCCTCAACCTCTCGAGTGCTGGGATTATAGGCATGCACCACCATGCCCAGCAGGCCAATGATTAAAGCAGAAGCTCAAATGACTTATCTGAAGAGTCTTATTTTTGTCTGCCCTCAAATACTATCTTATTTTCAAGACAGAATTTACATTTTATTCTCTTGGATGAAGATATCTGCATACTTATAATATGTCTGCTCACTAATGATGCTGAGAAGGAAAAAAAGTCTTGAAAATACAATTGTATTCTTTGTGAATAAAACGAAAAAACTATGTTCGAAAAATACAAGACTAAAGGTTAAAGGAAACAATGTCAGATGAGTTTTTCTGCTAGAGAATGTAAGAACAATGTCAGCAAATCTGGTAGCACGCTCACCTGGACTAAAGCTGCTGTTTCAGAGGCCCTTGGGTATTCCCATGCTCTAGCCAGGGGCAGCCTCAGCATGCCAGGAGTCAGGAGCAGATGATACTGGGGTTCTGAGCAGAAATATCCACACTCCAGAGTGGTGAGCAGCTGGCTGGGCAGCCTGCTGTGGACAGCTTACAGAAGCACAGAAAGGCTCCCAAGAAGCCGAATTGTTAGGTGACTCAACAGATACAAACTTGAGTCTAGGAGTTGCCAAACTTATCTGAAGATGGGATGTCACTTTACAGGACATGCATAAAGAGGTTTAAACAAGGCACTGTTCTTTAAGCAAGCTATTACAAAGCCCAACTGGTTTGGATAACTGAAGTAAGACAAACTGGAAAATGCTTGGTTAAAACAAAAACCTTTTTCAGAAATACGGTCTCTGTAAATTACTTTCCAAGTAGTGTTTCAAAAAGCCCTTATATAAATGATAGTATTAAAAGGTAAGAGTATTTAGATGTTAAGAATTAATCTGAGTGCATTCAGCTCTACAAAGAATGAACACACTCAGAAGCGAAACAGTGAGCATTTGTGATATCTCATGTATATTTCTTCTCTTTTATCTTCAAGATGTGAAGTTGCAGGATTGGCCCATCTTGTGAGTGAGGCAACAGGCAGGACACACAATCACTGTACACAGTGTTGAGAACTGATCTCCAGGCTTACAGTGAAGGCCGTGAATTTAGAGGTTTCAGATGAAAACATATCTTTAGGAAGCAGGTAATCGAGAAAACTATACCTGTAAAATTAGAGTGGAACCTGGAAACTTTCTTTAAGAAAGACTGGGAAGTCTGTGGGTCCATCCATCACAGATGGTGAGTGTTACCTTAACCACATGTCCTAAGGCAGGGTGTGAGCAGACCAAGAGGTGTTTAGTCAGAAATCCAGCAATCCTCAGTGAGCCCAAGAGCATTTAAAATAATTTCAAAATGCCAGAGATTGCAAGCCGTTCTTACTAGTGAATATAAAAACTTCTGGAGTCCTAAGTGCTACAAACTATTAATTTATAAAAGTAACGAAACATCAATATGAAAAAGATCAGGATTCGCTCTCATCGACATCCTTATCGGGATCCTGCTCAGCAGCCTCCTTCTCCTGCTGCTGTTTCTTCCAGAGCTTGGCCATGGCCAGCAGCTTAAGGTTGGGTTGGTTGGCAGCATCCTCGGGAAAGATGTAATCATAGTATTCCTCCCAGCCGGCGTCCGACTGCAGAGACAAAACAAGAGTAAGCAAATATGAGCTCAAACACTCAGGTTTCAGAGTTGACATTCAATTGTACTCATTTTACAAAATAACATGAAACTTCCTAGAAGCAGCAAATGTTGGCCCTGAAAGACCAGGAGTAAAGAAGCAGTTGCCAGACAGTGGTGGCTGCCATCAGTGCTCACTGAAAACCCAGTGAAACTGAGCATGGCTCCTCCCTGTCAACCGCAACTGCCTCCAATGCCATCTCTCAGTCTTGTGGTTAGGGGTTAAAGAGTTTAAAGCGTTTCTGGGGCATTTATCCAGGAGCAGAGCCTTAAACCTGGGCAGAGGTTTAAAGCTGGATCTCCTGTCTTCCCCTTCAGATGCCCACCCACGTGACTCCCCAACACTCCTCCAATAGCCTGCCCTGTGCGCGCGCGCGCGCGCGCACACACACACACACACACACACACACAACGCGAGCAGGCTGGGATGGAATTTCTTCCAATCTGGGACCCTCATGTCCCCTGTGCAAGCTGCCAGGCCATGACATTTCAGGAAGAAGGCCTGTGATGATTCCTACCACCCTCCCTCTTGCTGCCTACACAGCCCCACACACACTGGCTCCCCTACTTCCTGCTGTAGACTTCCTGTCACTACAGTAGAAGCAGAAACCAACTGCGTGGACCGCACAGCTCAAGCATCACAAAGAGGCCTCTGCCAGCCCTTCCTGCCCATCCCAGCCGTGTCCTGTTCCCAGCTACGTGCTGGTGTTCTGAGGCTACAGAAGCTACTGAAAGTACAGCTGTCCGGTCAGAAGCTTTGGACTCCAGGGCTCAGCTCTTACCCCGTCATCAGCCTGGACCTTTTTTCTCTTCTTGACTTTCTCTGGCATGAGTTTGTCCACTCTCTCCTTATCTGACGCTGTTCCAAATTCATCTTCAAAATTTTGCCATGATTCCAGCAGCATGAGCCTCTCTTCCTTTTCTTCACAGTTCCGCATCGCTTTGTTAGCTTCTTCGTAGATTTGTCTGCATTTAGCAACACTTCCCTCCTTCCCCGAAGACAATTCAAACTGAGCAAAACTGGTCCATACCTTAGAAAAATTATTTTGGAGCCAAATTAACCACAATGATGTAACAATAATAGGTAATAAAAAGTTAATTTCTAGCTTATGATATCCAAATATAACATATTCTAGTGTTCTACCCTGAGTAATGCTTCATTACCAAGTAGTTCTGAAGCAGTTGCTTTTACATGAATTAGGTGTCTGACAGCCTCAAGATCCTGGAAAGAATTTATCTGCTCTATCACGTGATACCCAAGATATTCACACACAGTATAAGCAATAACCTAGGATAAGCTTAACATCCCAAAGTCATCCAAAACTCAGTGGTTCTTTTCAAAAGCAAGAAAAGTAATTTAGAATATATTTTCTAAACACTTAAAATTTAGAAATACAGTATATGTGTTTCACTACTGCTGATGGAATCGAGATCAAAAACCATCTACAAAGCACAGGATACCTTGACATGCTGTGTCCGCTGAAGCAGCTGCCGATAAAGATTTCGTGTTCTTTCAGTTTCTTCCTGCTCAATCTCAAAGTCAATGTATGACTTCCAAAGCACCTAAGAAAGATACCTTAATAATAGGTCATCCCTGCATTTAATTCAGAAGGCAACATGCCCCACCCAAAACACAGCTGACTACCATCTACATCTAGGAGGCTTTTATGGAATGACAGCCTGACAAAAACATGGCTAGCCTCCAAGGGACAGGGAAAAAGGTCTTGGATTCAGTTTTAAGTTCTTTTAGAGTTTTCAAATGTTAAACTCCAAACTTGACATATTTGAGTCTACTGGGTAATTTCATGATCCTGCCACACAGTTAACTTCTGAGGAGAATTAGGCTCTGATCAGCCAGTGTATATGTTCTTGCCTCCAAGAAAATAGCTTGTTATTTGAGTTCAGATCCATGAATGTTCACTGAACAGCTGCCCGCCTCATAGGTGCAGGCTGTCAGGGCGCACAGTTGAATGAGCTGTGGCCTGGACCTCTGGGAAGGGGCTGCTGTCTGGGGACCCCTGCGGCCCACAGTTGGGGCCAGCAGTACACAAAGCCCTTGCTTGCTGTGTTGGGGCCTGAGCTTTTCTGTGTGAGGGTACATTCAGTAAGACACCTAAAGCTGTGTGGGTTCCAGTCACCTGTGAGATTCATGCAGGCCCTAGCAGTGGGGTTGGCACTACCATATGGCTTAAACTGAACCACTGCTGGGCTGGGAGCCAAGGACACAGGACAACAGGGCTCAGCCCAAGCCTCCTATGGGTCCAATGCAGGCAAAAACTGTCCGAGGATGGAGGGATGTACATTCCTTACATCCCAGCCATGGTCTCCAAGTGAGGCTGCCTTGCCTGAGCTCTTTCCCCTCCGTTTAGCCTTCCCAGGGCAGGGAGGGAGCTAATCCTGTTCCCCGTTATCGCCCAATTCGTCCTAGCTATCTACCCTCCTATCCTACGGACAGAAAAACCCCAGTCTGATGGAGCACCTGTAGATTAGATGAACATCTTTACACCTGAAATGCACATTTATAGATGGCTGTCTACAGGACTATGAGAGAAGTGGCTAAAACAAAATGAGGTTCCACAAAGGCCCTCACCTCTGGCATGTCTAGGCGTGGCTGGCTGATGGCCAGTTCGT